TTTTTATCTCTCCTTTTTTTGTCTCTCTCCCTCCCTCACTATCCACCTTACTATCTCTCTGTCTCACTCTCTCACTTCCTTCAGGCTACCGGATGAAAGCAGGGAGGCAGCCCCCCTCGGGGAGGAAGAGATGGAGAAAGATATTTTTATCATTCCATCATTTTTTTCTCTCTCGTTTTGAAAAGGGTCACATTCTTCTCAAGCACACGCAACAAACTGCATTCACAGTATGCCAAATTCACCACGCTGCCACCATTCACATTTCCTGAAAACGTACATCCTAGGATACTGAAATCAGTGACACCCATTCTACCTCAAAGAAAACATTTTCTTAACTTCGAAGAACAGCCCATACTCACTGATTGCAAAAGAAACTGAATTCGATGGTGTTAATTGTCAACTAGTACTTTCAATCATCGGGCTAAAAAACAAGCTTTTGTATAAGCAGTCAAGTGGGAGTCACATCAAAGTAGACTTCGAAGACTTAAAAGTAAAAGTCTGATTAAAGTCAGTAGTGTGTACACAACACACTGTTACTACAAACACTAACGATGGCTCTGCTCTGTTTAACTGTCATCGCAAGCCATGCTACTGAGCGAGCAAGCAACAATAGGCCTTTTCCACAGCAAACTTTTTGACATGTCACAATAGGAAAAACACAGGTCTAAATAATACGATTAATTAGACAACATTTTGAGTTGGGTTCACACTGGCCACAATTCATTGATCTGTGACTTAAAACAAATATGGGTCAGGGGTCAGGGGGTCAAATGGAGGGCCTCTTCCCCTCTTCTTACCCTCCTGCTTCCAGCCTTCTTGCTTGGACCACACCCATCTTCAAGCTCAGCTTTCTTTTTGATCTCAACTACACACCTGTGAGGGTGCATGAATGCTTCTTGCACGGTTGTGACGCAAGTGCATTTGACAAAATCTTTCCACAGACAGAGAGACTGACAAACACAGAGACAGACATTCAGTCACCAAGGAATTCCCATTCCTCCGTGATGGATGGGGCCCAGGCAGATCTCTGGTGGATCCTCAGTCTTCGGCAGGTCTTTGCCTGGAATGGGTTCCCTCGCCCTTTCGTGTTACAAACACCTGGCAAAGTACTTGGGCCACTCCTGCGGCAGTTCTTGCTACATTAAGTGTCTCCAGGACCACATTCTGCCATGATGACACACACACACACACACACACACACACACACACACACACACAGACTTACAAGGCCATTGTGATGCTGGTATTGTTTAATTCCATGTAGCTGTTTCAGTTTTGGGATCCTGGTATTGTGCATGTTGGCTCACTGTCATACTGTCATGGCCTACTGGCACACTTGAATAGAACAGAGCCATCGTTTATGTTGGCATTAATGTAACATTATTGTAAATTTGACGCTTCATGTTTTAACATGAATGGGGCAAAGAAGTCAGCAAAATGAATACCTTAGCAGAAACACCCAAACACAGCTTACGTCACTGGCCTTTCATCTACGTGGTGTTAGTGCCCTCTGGGTCCAATCACTTCTACTGGCTAACAGCCAGCCTGCCCCTCCCACCTCCCCCCTTTGAAAGCCTATCAGTGTCCCCACACTGCTGTCCAGCCAGCCAATCAAAGGGGTAGAGTCCAAAGGGGCCACCTATCAGGTTGATTATCAGTAGGTGCTATTATGGCTCATTAGAACAGAGTGTGCTCATAATGAGGGCAGTAAATTAGGTCCATTACCAAGGGTGGGCACACACTGACAGCCGCCCTACATCATATCACATTTTCTTGTTAACTCTTACAATTGATAAAACTTTTGTTTCACTCGATGGCCAAGGCTCAACAACAACAACACAAATGTTTATGTAGTGAAACAGAGACCAGAGTTTCTCACAGAGGCTTTACACAATGATATCAGTGTTCATTACAAAGTGCTTTGGTCAATTGCTGTATATACGCTCTTCAATTTTAACCTTTGCAATAAGCTTTTAAATGGAACAAGCAGTGACAGTGATTGAGGCCTTGTGTACAGCAGCCATACAGTGAGCAGTCCTCTGTTAGCGTGTAAACTGGATCTGTTTAGAAACAGTGCTGCTGTGCACTTGTGCGTTTTGGCACAGCTCACAGGAAAATGTATGGTCATGCACTTTAAGCACATGTATACACAAAACATGGACTTAAGGATGATAAAGTTACTGAAGTTGCAGTTTCTGGATAGAAGTAAAACATTGAAATCACAGGTTGATCCAACATGTATGAATTTTATCACAGCAACTTATGTTGCGACTCAGTAGTGTGTATACATAACGTGCCATAAGTGCTCATTTGGATTCAGGTCAGGGGAACGAGAGGACCAGTCAATGGCATCAATGCTGTTATCATCCAGGAACTGCCTACACTCTCTGGTCACATGAGGCTGGGCATTGTCCTGCACCAGGAGGTACCCAGGGCCCACTGCACCAGCATAAGGTCTGACATTCACTACTGTTGTACTGCTGCTCCCCAGAGCATCAGTGACCCACCGCCAAAGCGGTGATGCTGGATGATGATACAGGCAGCATAACGTTCACCACGACATCTTCAGACTGACATGTGATGCCTGTCTCATGTGCTCAATATGAACCTACTCTCATCCTGTGACGAGAATGAGGCACCACTAGTGGACCTGCCAATTCTGATGTTCTCTGGCCAGTGCTAGTCGAGCATGTAAAACCATTCTCTTTTTGGGGGTTGTTTTGCTTTTGCCTCTCCATTGTACCTGTTGTCACTTTCATTTGCACCAAAGCAGGTGAAACAGATTCACAATCACTTGTGCTTCCTAAACAGACAGATTGATATCCCTGAAGTTTAACTGACCTGGTGTTACACTATGATGATTAAGTGTTGCCTTAATTTTTTTGAGCAGTGTAAGTTCTTTAACTGACTAACCTGTACATAACTTTAATTATGAAAACATTTAATGCTGTTTTTTTAGTTCAGTTTTAGGTAAAATAATAGTCTTCCTAATGATATGGTGTTTTTTTTGTCTGATCTGTTTATGAACAGGGCTTTTACTGTATCACAGAAACTTCTTTGCATATGTACAGTACACGCGTGCTGTCTCTGTTTTACAATGCTGTTGACAAATACACAGACTGTACACAAAATACATTGTATGTAGTAAAAATATAATACATTTACATAATACATTTTTGTGTCTGTGTAAATATAATACAGACGAAAACAATGTACACACATATACAGCGACATGTAGCACACAGACAGACAGAAACAATGAAGTGACAGCTGAAGACACGAGGACGAGACAGGCAGGAAGGAGAGCGAGACAGACACAGACTCTCGTGACTGGAGAACACACACCCATACTCTTCCCTTTGTGCCGATGAAATAGACCTGTATGTGTATGTGTATGTGCTCATGTGTCTTTGCTATGCAGATAAGCTTGACTCAGTAAACAGTACTAAAGCACAAAACATTATACTATTTCCTCACTGTTTTATGGTTTTATTTTCACCCTGAGAGATGAAATCTTTTGGAGTCAGGACACAAAAATCTCAGCAATTGTTTGTCCACTTTTGGAGATTACATAACATCACTAAATCTCATCTAAAAGTCCTGATTGGCTTGAATGTATGTACATGATACTCTTATTATATGTAAAATGTAATAAAAAATATTGTTAGGATGTTGTCAATCTGAACACAGACACACATTGTTCCTTTGAGTTTGACTGAACTCAGATCAGTGTTTTTTGTAATACTGTGCTTCACAAATGTGCAGAGTGAGATTTACAGTCTCAGATTCGTATGGTTTATGATGGCTGATGATTGGAGCCTGTGAACTAACCCTCAAATTATGTCACCGTCTCACTTATCCACATCGTAGGGCTTCCACATATCCAATTTCTAACAACTTAGTTAAGATTTTTCATGCTAACAGGACAAGAAATATTTCAAGTCAAAGTTAAATACTAAAATACTAACACAAAACCAGCCAAAATTAGAAAAATCATGCCATCAGTCCCAGCACAGTGCCGACATGACGTCACTATAGTATTACTGCAACATCAAGATGCAGGAAGTACTTAGTGCACACACAACGATAATAATCAGTGCTTAGCCTGCACACGTGACACCAGAATGGTTTGTGTGCGTATGTTTGTATGTGTGATTATGTGTGTAGTGCCTCATGCCAGACACGTCCTCTCCAGCTGAAAGTATGGTTGACATAAACTAAACAGCAGGACTATAACACTGGCTGATTTAAATGTTAATCGATGTATGTGTGTGTTGCAAAATATGTTCAAAGTATGTGCTCTCTTCACAAGATTATCTTATTGAAATTAGCTCCCAAAGAGAATCAGGAAATAGTTTTTTAAATATCATTAAGGGGACACACACACATATGAAACAGGGGGTTTGGCGGCCCTCTGACAGAAAGTTTGAAAACATCAAACACTCAATTTTCGGCATCCTGGTGAAATTTTATGCTATAATCTATAAATGTCACACTGTGTAAATGTCTTTAATTTTGCCACAATAAAAGTCCTCTGCTACTTCCATGGTTTTATTTGAGGGGGACAAATGAATGAATGAATGAATGAATGAATATCTTAATTTATTGCAAACAAAATAAAAAAACACAATAAAAAATACAAACAAGAAAAAGAC